GATACAACCCTGTAGGCGCTATATTTGTTAAACGCCTCTCACTTAAATTCATAGTATTTTGTACAGAGTTAATTGACTTAAACAATGCTACATTTTTCATTGCAACTTTTTTTGGTGACTGATTATAAATATTGTTATTTAAATATTTATATATTTGGTTGGCGTTTTAATACCCAAATAATCTTTGTCATCGTCGCCAATATCCTCATCATCATTATAATCGTCAAGATCATTCGTCACCTTTGTTAACATTATCAGCAGGAGAGGATCCAGAAAAAAAATGCTAGTAGGGGATAAAAGTATCAAAAAGGTTTTAATAATACCATTTAAACACTAAAATATCTTTATAAGGTCTTTCCATTCTGCATTTAAATTATTCACCTTACAGTATTTCTTAATTGTTCAGCCTTTTCCCAGACATTTTAGGGTCCTTTGTTTTAAGTGCTTTTTCTTTATTTTTTTTTAAACGAAGTATTTATCGTTTGTTTGTTGGCAATGTTTAATGTGGTTCCAATAAAGTTGTTGTCATTGAACGTTTTAAATGATCTTGATTTACTAACATTTTGGTACATTTTTTTTTATTTTGCGATTTTAATAAATCAATCAATGGTCAGTAAGCCGAAGGCTAATTACACCATAATTTGATATATTTTGTTTAGTGACAAATATTAGGTCAATAATTGTTTTAATAGTTTCTGTTGTAAAAATTTATGAATAACTTGCATTATATTACCTTGACTGACTATGGTGTTCATCTATTTAGGTTAGATTAAAATCTAACATAATGGCATCAATATATAATGCGGTAAAATTTTGATACATTAGGTCAAGTTTTGTTAAATATTCAGCCTTTGCTTTGGGTGGTCTATAAAATTGCCTACAGAGCTATTGAGTGGGGTGAGTTTATTTCTACCGATAGTGCTTTCCATTTTCGTCAAACATATTCATTTCTTTAATAGATTACCATTTTTAATGTAAATTAATATACCACCTTGCCTTTCAAGTCTACAGATTTCATAAACTTCGATTAACACTTCATTGTTGTCAATATTATCAACAGTAAATTCCGGTTTAGTTTCAGCCAGCCACGATGCTCCTCCGGTGATAATCGTTATTGAACCTACAGAAATTGTACAAACAAATTTCCTCCGATTCCGATATTATGTTAAAAAAAACCCAGTAGGCCTAATTATAAACAAAATCCTGACGATCCAGAAATTGCGTAAAAAATCCCGCCGATCCTGACTTTAAAAGATCCCGTAATTTTACCAAATCCCGCCGATTCAGCTATTGCGTACAAAATCCCGTAATTTTACAAATGAATTCCTGTCCATCCCGAGGAATCCTAACAAAATTCCGGCGTGATGGGGTCATTCTGATGGATTCTCACTGAATCCCGATCGGGATCCCGATTTCATCTTTGATAGGGTATCTGTCATCCATATGAGAGTTTTGTTTGATTGTCACTATGGTTCTTGTTTCTATTTATGAAATATGGTACCGTATCTTATTGTATCCTATCTTAAACTTTCGGACCAATGGACCTTCGGACCAATGGGCCTTCGGACCAATGGACCTTTGGACCAATGGACCTTAGGAATCCCTCGTGGGTGGGCTAAGCATGTTTGTTCTTTGATTAGGCCTATGTATACACTACGTGCTTATTCATCAAACCGGAATAATAATGGCGAGATCAGGAGCAAGAAGGAACCCTATATCAGGAAAACGCCAAGAGACTTCCAATGGTTTACCAGGGTGGATAGTGGCTTGGTTGATAATAACAGCTATTATTCAAACCTGGGATGCTTCATATATTTTGCTTAGACCACATACCTCTCCAGGAGGCAAGCTTAATGCATTTTGGAGACCATGTAAGAACCGATAGGTAGCTAACTATTCGATCTAGGCCTCTAAATACGGTACGGTACAGTACACTTTAGTGACTTCCTGACCTAAAGTCCATGGACTAAAGCAAGTCCTACTACTGTATGGTAGGCTCTAATGAAGGTGTTTTTATAATAATCGTGTTTGCAACAGACCAACTACACACCATGCATCAAATGTATTGTATGTAGTATGTGGTCAAATATGCTCATAAATAATAGTATAAGGCTTATTTTTTATAAGCTTTTTTAAGTTCGTCTGATATGTCGCTGTTTATATTTGCTGCCCTCTTTTATTTGACATAACTTTTCTGTCTGAATTTAAAGTGTTGAGTTAAAAATCTTGAAAAGTAGAAAATATTTGAATGGCTTGCCTACTTTGTTTGTTGTTGTTATTTTTTTTTATCTATTTTTCTAAAGCGTGGTGGTGCCATACTTATTTTACATACATATTTTATTTTTGTGGAGGATACAGAGCAGTGAAAATGATTCTGCATTTTATTATGTCATTTATCTTTATTAGATTTTTTTTTGTAGCATTGGGATATTTCATGGTTTCTTGTGTCTATGCCCCCTTGGGGAAAAGATACTATGTTATGATCTGGCAGTTAAGGTGGCGGAAAGGGGTAAATCCAGCTTACAGGTGCATGATGGGTCGTGTGTCATCTTAAGTAAATTATTACTGTACAAAAGTCATGAAAAAGAAATACAACACCACACATTTCCTGATAACTGAATCCCATGTGGATACTTTATTAGTAAACATAATACAGTAAGGCCAGTATAGGGCATAGACACATGCTCCCTCTGAGAGCCTATGTAAAGCGCATACAGGCAATTTTTTCCTATACATTATGCTCTATATAAGATTACATTATTATTGAGCAGAAAATCGCTATTGAAATCACATATATTGTAAATTAAGTTATAACCATGTTATAACATGACAGTTCGGTGTTAAGTTAAACTTTACTTTGTAGAACCATAAGTATGTTATAACCTATAGTTTCACAACGACACAACATTTTAACATTCCTGTAACGTTGTGTGAACGTTATTTCATGACATACCAACCAGCAACGTTCGCAAATTTTAATAAGAACGTTTCGTGTTTGCCAGGTTATCCCTAGTTTCTGCAACCCACCATTGCGTCTATTTTTGAGATTGGAATGTATTTTGTGTATTTGCTTGTTTGTTTATTAGGTTTTCCACACACAAAATATATAATATAAAACAATACAGTATAGGTTATAAATATGTAATTTAAAACAGATTAAAAAAGGGAAAAATAAGTAGATAAGACTGTGTGGATGGGGACAAAATAAGTTTGAGAACAAACTTTACAGCCTGGTCACCTGCTAAAAATCAGAGTTACAAAAAGAAACATTAAAAAAATAGCATAAACAATGAAGTAAATACATTAAAGTGGCATATTATAGATTGCATAATAAAATAGAGATACAGGTATGCTGCATCTAAGTAATAAGTATATTTTTTTGTTTATTTTATTTGTTTGTTTATATTAACAATATGCTTAATAATCATTATATAAGTAAGTAAACTAAGTTTTCTTTTATTTTACTGGAATACAGCATATCTGTATGTGTATATTACATTTATTTTTATTTATTATATTTCCATACCAACTCAGAGACAAAAACCTCCAATTTAAAGTTGACATAAAATAAATGTACTATATAGAAATAACATACACCAAAAAAAAAAAAATATATATATATAAAATAAAAATAAACAAATACAATAATAAATACATATCTAAAACATCCTCAGTAATTTTCAACTTAAAAATGGGTAAACTGTCGAAGAAAGTTACAGTATCAGTAATAAAATCTTATATGTATCACAGAAATGCTTAAATAAATTTCTACACATAAACATCTACATGTCCAAATAATTTTTATAATTTATTATTAATTCATAATTTTCAATTTAAATTACTTTAATTGTGATTTGTGATTTTTTTCTTACTTTAGATAACCTTTATCGCGATATTGATCTGAGATACAAGGACACTGAAGATTCATTTGGTATCGCTCAAAGTTGGTGAGTGTCAATTGTAGTTTAGCTCCCCCCCCCACCCCCTAAAATTTTCCCAACATGATGTTTTTTTTTTGTCTAATTGGGCATACTCTATGCTGTGTAGTGGAATTTCTCTATAAAATGGAATGTGTTAAGGTTCATTTATCTGTAAATTGGAATGAGTTTGGGTTCATTTCTTTCAAGGCAGACGTCCATGCCAAGTTCAGTGTGGGTATAGTTTTATCAAAGTTGGAAATTGATCCTATGTCTTAAAATATGGCCAATGACTGATAGTACCTTGTCTGAAAATAGACTATGGGCTTACTGTATTCGACTGGTTCATTTCATTGAGTACGAATTTTCGTTGAGTATTATTTTCATTCGACTGGTTCGTAAAATAGACTTCGTTGACAACGAAAATTAACGCAAACAGAGTGTGTTATTCAGCGTTAAGTTATGCACGTGACCAAAAAAATATGGCCGATTGGTCAGTTTAACAACATTTGCACTAATATAATTTAGATTAAATTTCAGAAAATAAAAATTATAATATATACCCACATTGAAGTCAAAAAATAATTGTAGGCTAACAGAATTCAAAATTTGGATGAAAACATTTTTTTTAATGAAAAACCCATACTGCCACAATCCGAAGCAGCCTTGATTACGCAGCATGTATCGCGGTAACTATGCAGCCATTTTGTTTTGTCGAGTATTTACCAGTTATCTATTCGACTGGTTATCTTCGTTAAGTAGGATTTTACCACTGCGCAGGTGGGCGTGGTTTAACAAAGAATGACCAGTCGAATACGGCCAATGTTTTGTGTAATTTGGACCTAGTTTCTGCAGTATACTCATGCTCCTATAGGAACCTATTTTTTTTTCTATTAATGAAAGCTGGTGAGTGTCAATATCCAATGAAATCAACTATGAAGGTGCATACCTCATGATTCAGCTGGTGACAACCAGTGGTAAATTTAGAGGTCGTGGAGAAGGGTTTAACTTCCCACCTTAACTTAACCTTCCCAAAAGTTTTACCAACATGCATGTTTTTTTTATGACTGAAATAAGAGTTAAAATTTGTATTTAAGACACTGAAAGTATTTGATTATCAACCACATCTGCGTCATGTGGGGTCCATAGTCTCATGGTGGGGTGAACTAGGTTGATTCAATCCATTCAAAATTGTTGGTAGCCCCACTAACAAAAAATCCTGGATCTGCCCCTAGATGCTTTTAAGGCACAAGTGCTTGTCAAATTTTTGAATGATTTAGCGACATTAAACTTGGCTAAACTGGTAGAGGCCACTGTGTGTTCACTGAACTGTGGATATCTTTTTGGTACAGAATTATATGAATTGTTACTTTACCTTTTCAAATATTATTATGGTTTATCAAATCATGTTGTTCATTACTTATTTCGTATTCATATATAGCGCCTCTTCCTTTGGGTTACAATTGCGCTTTGTTTTTCTCTGGTCATTGAGCCCACATGATTAAGTGTTGCTGCTGGTAATTAGCGTAGAAGCAACCAGCTCTACCAGGTACCCATTTATACTTCTGGGTGGAGAGAAGTTCTGCAGATAAAGCGCCTTGCTCAATGACACAAGCAAAATGCACAGAGTGTTGAAACCTCAACCTCAAAGTTGAGAAACTCTTCGCCAAACTTACATAATTATTTTCATTACTTTCTAAATTTTTTTAAAATCTTTTACTCTTTCGTCACAGCCTAAATCTTGTGGAAGTCTTGCTAGCTCTTATCGTTTTGTATTTGGTAAGTTTATGTCATTTTTTGAGGTGAGTCGAATGGCCGAGTGGTTAGCAGGGGCACTGCAAGCTATAGCCATAATATCGGCGCTGGTTCGAACTGCACTCTCGTCTATGGTTTTGGTGGTAGAACAAGTCTTCTCGGATAAGGACTATAAACCGTAGGCCCAGTGTATGCAATGGCTTGTGTGCACTATTAATAAACCTACACTATTATTATTATTATTTTTTATGTTAAAATTTATATCTCTGGAGACAAAACAGTAACTTCCGTTGTTTTTAAAGTATTACACAAAGATTATCACTAGAAAAACACTGTGCTGCACAAACTATCAACTGGCAGTACAAAGTGTTTAATACCCAACAAATAAAAATGGATCCATGCACTGAAGTGAATTTTTCATTGAACACCAAGAGCTGCATGGAAATTTATACTATTGTAAAAATTTGTATTATGCTTGTAAAAAGCACTGCTTTTATGCCTTGTTAAACTCAGTTTTTATACTTTTAAGAGGGTAGGCGTTGAACCTTAAAGGGTATTCTAGCCAAATGTGGTAGGCGGACCGTACACAAAGGGTTTTTAATTTGTTTTCACAGGCTGCAACAAAACTGCTGCCAAGTACTCTATTGAATATTATTTAAGCTAAACAATAGTCAACTTACAATACCAAAAGTAACCTAAATAACAGTTTAACAGAGCATTTTGCCCACCTGTGCAGTCATGCATATCTTACACGTGTTTGTTAAATGTGGCAAAGACAAGCCACACCAGTCACTCGTCGCAAAAATGGATTTTGAGTTATGAATAAAGAGTTAAAGAGTAAAATAAGAGCTATAAAATGGTAAAAAATCATTCAAATCCAACATGGTCCGGAACGGTTTTAACTTAACCGGTAAAATGCACAATGCCTCCAGTACAGTACATACACTACATTGCACAACAGCTTTTGTCTGAAGCACAAAAACATATCAATTATTATCAGTTATTGTTTTCTAAACATGGCTCCATGTGTTATTTCCCCTGTCTATCGATCCCACAGTTACACCATTTTTTTAGCCCTGATCTGAAATAATATTTGTGAAACAATATTGAACTGGGAAAGTTTAGTGGCTGAGCGGAAAGGGGGCCATCACCCCTATTGGAGCAACTCATTGTCCAAGGTTTAAGTGGGTTAAACCGAGCCTTCTTGAATAAGGACTCAAAACTGGAGGACTAGTGAACAAATTTTCGTGTTATTTTGATTTATTATTTATCTTGTAAAATGTATCCTGATTTTTCATTGTTCTGTATGGCTTTTCGATTGCCTGTATTCAACTTCAGTTTGACAAAAATAGTTTTGTTTTACAGTATTTTTTATTTTCGATGGTATGGTTCATTTCAGCACCTGTTGTAGAATGATGTGAAAATGAAGCTACTAAGTGCCTTTCTACGGCTGCTAAAGTAGTTCATCATTCTCATTCGCAATTGAGTGCAATGACATTATGAGATATAAGTTATTCTCCAAACTTTACATTATCCCCTGCAGATTGCAAAACATTAACAGTGCAGTTGAACATTGTGTAGTAAAGTAGGTAGACCTAAACACCACCTGTCAACAACTTCTTTATTTTAAAAATGTATTAAGACTACAAAATACTATAACAATTGAACACTTAGCACACATCCTGCTTGCAGTGATGATCTGATATGATGTATTTTGAACAATAAACTTCAGGGACAGATCCAGGAATTCGAAATAAAGAAAATCCAGGGGTGGACTTTCAGAGAAAGAGGGTCTATAATAACACCAGCCCCACCATGGTTTGGAAAATTTAGGGGGCAGGGCTGGTCCCACCCTCTCTTAAATCTACCACTGAACTGATCTCCTGAAGATAAGGATAAAAGTATACAACTCAGCTTAGTTTATCTTAACAAATCTTTCATTTAGCATCTCCAGAAGATTAACAAATAAACAATTATAACTGTGTCTTTTAAGAATGTTGCTGAGATATGGCAGTAAGGAGGTGGGTTAATAATTTTAAGGGCTTTAGTCTTTGCTCTGCGGTAAGTCCTATATCTTTTACGCTTAAGTGAACAAACGTTAAGTCAGGCTCCAGAGAAAAAGAAATTGAATGTTGTATAACCAGTTTTTTTAAAACACAAAAAGCACATGTGACAAAAAACTTGGAAACAGTTACTGAGATGCAGATTTTTGAATATTTAAAAACTGGAGGGAAAGGTGAAAAAAAAGGTGGTTAATTTATCTGTATTTATTAAATCTAGGCCTAAATGAAATTGGTGCCCCCTCATTTCAAAAGTTCTGGATCTGTCCCTGAATAAGGCAAAACCTACTTTAATTCGTAAAAACTAAACTAATCAACTGACAAACCAAATATAACATACTGTAAACAAATAAAAATGGATTGGACGACCAAAGTGAATTATCTAAAGTGTAGTTATCTAAGTTTATGTCTGTATTATTTCAGCTAACAGTATTATGTTATAAGAATGTTATAATAATGTTACAGTTTGGTGTTAAAACATTATTTTGTGGAACCATCAGTATGTACTTTTAACCTAATTTCACAATGTCACACGTGGCTGATGTTCCTACAATGTTATGTGAAGGTGATTTTGTGACATACCAAACCACAAATTCGCAAATGTTATAAGAACGTTCTATGTTGGAGTGCTAGTAAAAATGTTCTTGCTCTGCTGTAGTAATATCTATTTATGTTCTGTTTCAATAGTAATTTCTCAGATGTTTGGCATCAGGCCGTCACAAGAATGGTATTCTGGCCAAAAATGGTAGGCGGCCACACACTAAAGGTTTTTTAATTTGTTTTCACTAGCTGCAACAAAACTGTCACTGAGCCGTAGAAGTGGCCCACAGCCCACGGCACTTTGTCCAACTTGTGCAGTATTTATACTATGCATGGTAACCAATAGTCAACTGACAATACCAAAAGTAAACTAAATAACGTAGTTTTTCACAGGGCACTTTGCCCACATGTGCAGTCATGCATGTCAGACATATGTATTCATGAAATAAGCTAAGTACTCAACTGGCAATGCCAAAGATATTCTAAATAACATAGTTTTTCAAAAAACATTTTTTTTACTGCAACCTGGACTGGTTCCAAGAAATTTATAGTTGCATACATTACTGCCAGACCATGATGTGAAGTATCTTCTGAAAATATATTTAAAATTAAATGAATTAAAAGAATACTAGGCTTTTAACAACAGGAACACTAAATTGTCGTACTTGTAGTAAAGTAGATCTGTAGGCATGGGAAAAGTTTTCTGTAACAGCATATAATGAACACAAACCATACCATTATTGGATGAATATTCACCTGTATCTGGCCTATGTGCTCCCTCATTTTAAAAGTTTTGGATCTGTCCTGAACAAGGCAAAACCTACTTCAATTCGTAAACTAAACTAATTGACTGACATCAACCAAAAAACAACACCAACAAATAAAAATGGATTTGAAGGCCAAAGTGAATTACCTGTTAAGTTAATTTATCTAAGTTTCTGCTATGCCTTCATTATGATTGTAAAAATGTTCATGCTTTGCAGTTGTATCCATTTATGATATGCACTATTTCAATAGTACTTTTTTATGTTTGGCATCAGGCCGTCACAAAAAGGGTATTCTTGCCAAAGATGTTAAGTGGCCGCAAATGAAGGGTTTTTAATTTGTTTTCCCTGGCCACAACAAAACTGCCGCCAAGCTGTAAATGTGGCTCATAAGCCACGGCACTTTTTCCAACTTGTGCTATTCATACAATCTAAGCTACAACGGACAGAATACCACAAAGCACTTTTGCAGTTATGTGTACCAGACAAATATGCATACCATAGGCTAATCTATTGACAATGCCAAAGATATTATAGTTTTTCCAAAAAACATCGTACAGTGCACCGAGGAATGAATAGTCCTGAAAAAATACATGCATGGTTTGAGGTAAAGTAGTGAATTCTACTAGTTCCTGAGGTGTTGGATGATGGGGACGACCTCCCGACATGAGGTAGCTCCCAATCATCCAACAACAAAACTCCTCTTTAGTTTGAAAACTCATGTCAAAAAGAAGCCCTCTGTTTAAACTGGGATTCTTCTCGAGATTTAGCCCACTGGGCTTTTATTCAA